AACGAGTACAGAGAGGAATGGTTGTATGAACTAAAGGCTTGATAATTGCAAAAGAAGAAGAGAAAATAAGTGAGAGATTGTATAGGATAAGGGCGATGAGGGTTGATGACAATGGATGGTACAAGTGAATGAGTGCATGTCCTAGCTCTTGATCATTCATATATTATGAGAGAAGGTGGCCATGATTGTGGGAAGCCATGAGTAGTAAAAGACGACTGGTGGTTCACATGATCGAGTTTAATGTTATGATGAAGAAAACTTGGCTTAGGCAAAGAGGCACTGGTAGCTTAGAATTAGACCAATCTTTTATATCATTTCAGTTTAGTCTATTAAGTATTCCTTAAACGAACTTAACCTCCATCATCTTAATTTTGGAATAGCTATAGGGTCTTTGCAGTCATCTCTTATTCAACCTCTTACATTGCTTCAATACTTCATACTTTGATTGGTTATTCTAAAATATTTTGAAAGAGAAATCAATAATGAAGTTAACAACTTTTCTGCATTGATAATCTGATAATTCAAATACTTTGGATACAAAATATACATCATCATTATTCATATTAGACCATCAAAAATTTTCTTGAGAACTTGATGCAATTTTGTAATCCTTATTTGAAAAAAATAGAGTTGGTGTGTTTCATGAAATTTATCATATTAAAGTCCCTTTTGATTTAGGATACAAAATTAATCTTTAAATATTAACAAACCTTTTTTTAACCCATTTTGAATTTGTTATTTATACTACACCAATTTTTCATCTTCTAACCCAGCTATTCAAACTTGATCTACTATTTTGGATTTAATAGTTTTGTGATATATAGCTGCAATGGTGCCTAAGAATGCAATTATCAAAGTGAACTCGTTCCATCTCAAGTGTTAGTCATCAGTCATGAGTGGTCATCAAAGCTAAGGAGGTTGAGAAATTTTTTCTTAAATCAATTGTTACCACATTAACCTTACTTGGCTAGTACTGTATGTAAATCAAAGTTCTTTCATCAACTCAAGGCAATGCATCTATCTCATGTTCAAAACTTTCTGAGTAAAGATGTATTTCAAGTTCTTATAATCAGTGAAAATTTCACAATATATATTGGGTGGATATTTCTTCTTTACTATCTTTTAATTGAACTCTCAATAATTAGTTCAGATCTCATGCTTTCATCTTTCTTGTTCTCAAATATGAGCGGTGCCCACAATGTGAAATGCTAGGTCTAATAAAACTATCATTAAGTAATTCCTACAACTAAACTTTAAGCTCTTGAAGTTTAATAGTTTTCATACAATACAATGCCAAAAAATTAGAATGATATCCAAAATTAAATCTATTGAGAATATCTCATAATTAGGAGATAAGCTAGACAAATCCTTATAAACTATATCAACAAACTAATGAACCACAAAAACACTAAATTTTGTTGACATGTATTATATGAGCAAGAAAACTAACACACCTATAAGAGATTATCTTATGAGACATAATTGTTTATATTAGATATGGCATTGCCCATTGCTAAAACTGAAATGAATTATCCCAATTGTACATAAGTATATTGTTCTCTTATAATATTTTATAATAACATGATAGATAGATAGTTAGTCATACTTAATATTGCTTCAAAACCAATTAGTGAAAATAAAATGAGTATAGCATGCATATGCATGTCATTAACAATGATGTCACAATCATGAACATATTAAGTAATAGTCATGAATGAATTAGATGATATAGTAATCAATATATGTGATTACAATTATAAACTTGATGCACTAAATAAAATTTATTTTATATGAATGAATGCAATATATGTTAATAAATGTCAAATCAAGAAACTAATAAATATATGTCAAATAAAACCTTTTTTAATTTCTTAACAATAGAAATAATACTCATCAATATATTAAAAGGTTCATGAGCCTCCTACCATATCATAATAAATACTTAATTTGGGATTGTCAGCTTGGCTAACTTTGTAGCCTAATGTCATTGTAATTGGTATTATACCATTCCCTACTATTGATATGACATTGGATAATGATGATGTTGCAAGTAATTTAATGCATATGAGCATTGCTGATAAGGCTGGGATGCCAAAAAAAATATTATGATTGTTGCTAAGGCTAAAGATATTATGATATTGCTTCTTATTTATCATTTTGCTTCTGTTATTGCGATCTATCGGGTCTTTTGTCACCCATTTTTATGCTTTTTGAAATTATTTGTTGTCCAGTTGCCAGATAAGATTATTCTAAAAGTCACATGTGAATAATCATTGACCTTTGTGATCAAGACTGTAATAATTAAAGCACTGTTTGATGGTTATGTCGCAAGATCCTAGCTGTCATTTCCTATAATGAACATAATAAGACTTATTCATTGATTTTTGTGTTTGCTGCTTCATCTAAGAACTCTCATTTGCTTGTGCGTCTATATTTTTCTATTTTCCTACACGCTTCTCTTCATTAGTTTTGATTTCTATCTTTACATGTATGAAACACTCTACTAGCTCTCTATAGATTGTGCACTTGGTAGAAGATAAGTAAGTTTTGTTATTTTCTGTCAGGTAAAAAAAAATTTCTAATCTCATGCCAACTAATCAACGATTGAATCTGATGATTCCGATAAGATGGATCTCATATTCTTGAACAAACACAATTCATGGTTTTGATTTTCCTAAATCATTTTTCAAATTGTCTTGGTCTATGATTCGAAAGATTTATTTAAGGAATAACATCTTTAGGATTTCCCAAGGAATCACCACACCAAGTTCATAGCTATTGCAACGATAACTCTCTTATTAATCATTAACACCTTCTTGTAGCTGAGTTGTAGCTATGTTCACATTGTGGTTCTTGAGTCATATCATAAATCAATGTCTATTTTTAATGTCATGTAATTATGCATTGAATCCAATTAGTCCCATTTGGCCATTAAATTTTAAAGGACGAGTCTTCGAAAATTAATTTTTCATTTGATATATCATACACATTAATAATCATAATAAAATGGCTAACTTCAATCCTATCAATGACAATTCGGGTGCATATTATGCAGGTTGAGTTGCTTATTATGTTAGTTGAATTGGTTGTGATGCTAACTGAGTTGTCAGTGGATTGACTAAATTGCTCCATTCAGTGCGGTCGCCATAGAAGGTGTCAACACCCAAAGGACAGACGTGAGAACTGTTATCTAATTCCTCTTGGAGCATTCAACCTTCACCTTAGTAGGCTCAAGATAATCTTATTAGCTGCCATGCTTGCCTATTTGTCTGAGGGTGATGCACGGATGCAAACTTCAAGTTAATTCCTTGACTTTGGCAGAAATATCTCACTCCCTGATCCACAAATTGTGTCATATTGTCTATGATGATAAGCAGTAGTAGCCTGTAATGATAGATCAGATCCATCTAGATGAAATTCCAAACAACCTCTATGGTGAACCAAGTGAGCACTTTGGCTTATACCCACTTGAAAAAATAATCGGTAGCAATCAGAAGGGATTTTTACTGCCTCTTATAAGAGAAAAGGCCCAAGGATGTTGAGTCCTCAACCGACAAAAAGCCATGAACTGAGCATAGGCTGCAGTTTGTGTGCTAGCTGATGTTGTAGCGATGCATACTTCTAACAATACATGTAGTTCCTGGAGAATTCCTTGACATCTTTTTGAAGTGATAGCCAGAATTAACCATGTCTAAGGGTGCAAATGAGCCGAGCCGGCTCAAGCTCTGCTTGTTAACAAACTCGCCAACCGATCTTATCCAACCCACAAGCTCGAGCTCAAACTGGAGCTTGTTTATTAAACACGCTCAAGATCGAGCCCATCTCGGCTTGGCTCATAGGCCCGCGAGCCTGCTCGATTAGCCTGTCACTAATCATTTTGATGCATTTTTCGGTGACATCCAGCTGCCTCCTCCTCCGCCCACCAATACCTTCTCCGACGAGCTCCCATGACAATTGAGTTTTTAATTTGAGCTCGTGAGCCGCCTACCACCAGTACAAGCCGAGATTGAGCTCAAGCTCACAGTTTTCCAAAAGAGCCAAGCTCGAGCTTAGCATGCCGCGAGCTTGACTCGACTCATTTTCACCCAAAACCCTATCCATTAGCTCGAATATACATATTAGACTCAAGGGAGATGGGAGCGGCCATTTTTGTGGATCTTATCCTATTAAACTAATCATGATTTTAGGGCAATTATAATCTCTCTTAAAAGTCTCGCCTGAAGGACAAGAAAGTTTACACATTGACAAAAATGGAATTGCATTTGGCATATGTTTTGTGTGAAAGGAAAAATTAAAAAAAAAATCTAAATTCCGAATCTAATATCATTCTTTAGCTATTTAAACAAGAAGATGAATCTAAAACATTATATTACTAAAAATATTTCCATTAGCAGCCATAATAAGCAAGAACATGATTGTCTGCAATGGGAGTTAACTTTAAGCAAGCAAAATTCAGAGTCCAAATAATGAAACCTTATCATAGAACCGGAGGAACTAAAGCTTGAGAAACAACTAACGGAAACGTTGATAAAGCATTCTAAGATCCCTACAATGAATGCAGGTCCATGGAATCGATGGAGGATCTAAACAGCAAGAATGCACCCACTTAGCCCGGCAGATGTGGCAGCTCAAGAGAAGATCCTCTGGCTCACGATTTTCACATTCAAAACAAATCGAATCTGAGGACTTGATATACAACACACACACAAACAAAAAAAAAAAAGCTTTAGCAATGGGGATGACTACAGTGAATAAAAGTTTGATACCAGATGAAAAGTGATAAAAAAAAAAGACTCTGAATTCTTACTGAGGGTCTAGAGTTGCTATATATGTTGCCTGGAAGACGAAAGAAGTTTGGTTTTGAAGAGCTACAGGGAATGCTTTGGGAGAATATCTTTTGCTCGGAAGAAGCTAGATCCTCAAATTTTGTGATGCTGGTGAAATTCGCTTTGCAAAGAGGGCATGCTGATACCTTTCCTTTTGAGGCCTGGAAAAAGTATTCTCATCTGTTAACCAAAGCCAAAAAAGTTTGGACATTCGGCAGTTCCCACGGAATTTGATGAAGCCAAGAAGAAATAAAACTCTAATTGCACAGATGTAATAATAAACACATTAAAAGTATGGGGAAGAAATTGAGAGAGAGAGAGGGAGAGATCATACCATACAATCAGCCCACACCTGAATGCAGGAATAACAGAAACGGTGTCCACATGGCAATACTCCTCTTAAAGAGCAAAATTCTGTCCAACAGATCACGCATGATGGTTCTGTCTGCTGATCTAGACCGCAAGGTGCACTTGATGCATCACATTCACTTTTTTCATCTTTATATTCTCCCGCTTGGGAAAGGTCATTTCCTCTTACTTCTACAGAATTTGCTATTTTCGAATCAATGTTAACGTCAAGTACATGGCAGCTATCAGAATTGTCTGAGTTTACTAAATTAGAGAAGTTATTTGGCTCTAAAATGTCTTCTTCATGCCCCATTTTTCTCCTATCTGAAGCCTTTTCTAGAGAAGGTGATGGAGACTGGTTACTCAGCTTATCAAGAGCCACAGATAGATCTTATTAACAATCAGGCGAAAAAAATCCCACACTACGTTGGAATATTTCTCACAATTTTAAATGGCACAATGAAAATTTACCAGGTTCTGTGATTTTGACCGCGTGATTACTTTCATCAGTAGGTTCAGCATGAGTTTTGCCAATAGCATCATCATGGAAGTTTCGCTTGTGCCTTAATCTTGTTGATGAACGAGAACTGCACTCAGGCTATCCAAAGGAAAACAATGTGCAATGAGGCTCAATTAGAAATAAATTTTAATTTTATAGAAATTGCATTGCATTGGCTTATTATTCTTGAGTCATTAAAAGTGAAGGTAAGGTACTTAATAGCCTAAAAAATAACATTACAATAAGTTCATCAGCTCAAATCATGGTAATCCATATCTTTTTCACATTGTACCATGAATCACTTATAAATTTTGTATCAATATCCTTTATGAATGTCTTTGGTGACAAAATGTTAAAATTTTAACATATGACGATATTTTATAACATGTAGTAGTAATTAGGAAAAAAAAAAACTCGTACTCACAGTAGGAGAAGTCCAAATATACATGCAAATGTCTTTTATGTTTGTCTATTATATTTCTAAACTACATTAATTATTTCCCAGTGGTTTATTAATCAAAGTTTGTGGCATGGGCATGCATTGAATGGATAAACTAAGTTGAACTTAGATGAACTCTTTTACTATGTGAACACATTATATATTAATCTAACAAATATTATTTCATTGGCCCGCAACAAATACTTCATGGTAAGCATATTGTGCACATCACTTCATGCTATCTTTTTCCTTTTTTTCCCTCAAAACAAGACTTTTTTCCATTATCAAAGCTTAATTAAAATTAAAGAGTCATATTTAAATTTCAATCAAATTCAAGTTGATTCAAAAATAATTTTTTTAAACACTTGAGTTCAGCTCAATATCAAATAATTCAAAACTATGTAGCTGGCTGGGTTTGCTCAAGTTCAGAGTTTCAACAACCAGTACAAATGCTATGAAGAGTAGGAAAGATATAAGCCTACCCACGCCCCTTATCATCCCATTGCGGGCATCCACATCACACCAGTGCAATCCTGAGCTCATGGTAGATACTGCTTACACTAGTGCTCAGCCCATGTTGTTTGCTTGCTCTCACGTCTTTCACCAGTACTAGTGTGCACCCTTGCGCTAAGCCGGCACATTTAAAAGGTAGCTCTCAAAGATTCCCTCTTGGTCATTGATGCCTTTCGGACATCAATGTCCTGCATCTAGCACATGCTATAGTCCCATCATCTCCATTGTGGATGACACTGCATCCAATGACATTCATCAGCCAAACTCCACTTCTTCACTTGATGCTCGCATTCCCTTGTCCACAATCACTCTCATTGGCATTCTAGTTCCCTTCACTATTGCTTCAATCTTGTGGACATTCAAACTCAATCCTCACAACCCTCCTGTCAGTTGCTACTCAAGGTTTGCAACAAGGTTGTATTCCCCCATTGAGACTGATCCTTTGCTGTCATCTATTTCGATGACCTTTACGGTTTGCTTTTGTTGAAGACCTCAAAATTTTAGTGGTCATCATATAATCATTTTCATTTATTTTCTAAGAAAAAATTCAAAAATATCTCAACTATTACAACCCAGCACAACGCTTAGAATTAACTAAGACGGGAACAGACAGTCAGATGGTGAGAATTTAACTTTTCCATATTCATTTACTACTTAAAAGATGAAAGAGTTACTAATCAAAATAAATTAAAGTGATATATTTAGATTTACCTCATTACTGGTTATCCTCATCTTCTATAAATATTTTCCCTTATAACGCTCATCTTTTAATCACTTGATTAATTTAAAATGTTAATTTAAAACAACATTAAGCTTAAGCAAAACAAAAGAATAATCATACTCATAAAGTATAGTAATACAAGGAAAAAGAAAAACAATATACATGTCAATTAGCTTTTAATAAATCAGCATAAACATATGATGTTATTCAAAGAATCTTACTCTATTAATAATATATCAATATCATTAAATATTTGTACAACCGTCACAAAACAATCTAAAAATTATACAACTTAACGCACTTCAATATCAATATCAATATCATTTTTCAATAAAGTGTGCGAGTACCTATTCGTTCCTCACTAGCACCATAAAAAGATAACTTCATTATAATCAGTCATGCACACACAAACATTCTATGAAAATCACTATTTACTAAAATATATTTTATTCTTATTTGCATAGCAGACAATATACTTATAAATCATTCAGTGATAATTTAAATAATATTGTGTACACATATCATTCTGATAATATGAAAAAAAAATCGCTAGAATTCAAAATTTTGAGTTTGCAATAATTTTAGTAATAAATAATGAAAGGGCAAGTAAATGCATTTAGTCTAGAAGAAACTAAAAATTACCATAGTATAAGAATACGAGCACTTACCCTGACATCGATTACATTATTATTTATTATCTTAACGTCGACTCTTCTAAAAATTGAATGCCTAAAATAAACATGGTAGAAAAATTAATTATTTATTTATTTTAATAAACTATTAGCTTTTCAGTATTTAAGTATTAAATTTACATTATGTCGTCTTATATTTATTTTTAATATTAAATCAATTTAATAAACAATTATACGTTTCTCGTTCGAGCCCTAAACCATGTGATTCCACACGGGAGAGCTTCTTCCATATGCGTTGAATCACATGAGAGCTCCGGTACGTCCTTCTCATCAACTCCTTCAATCGCATCTCGACATCGACGCCGACTCTCTTCGTCACTGATGCTCCCTCTACTACGCTCAAGCCTCCATCGTTGCCGCTCTTCTCCTCCATTCAACATTGACGCAGCTCCTTTACACTCTCTGTCGACGTCGTGACTCAACCCAACAGTGCAACCCTCAATGTCGTTGTTTGACTCTTTGATCCACCTTAAAATTAATTATTTTTAGTATATATTTCATGATCATTTTATGTATAACTTTCTATGATATTGCATTTTAAAGGAAAGTATTTTGCATTTTTTTGTTTTAGATACAAAAATTAGAGTTTTAGCGAAAATAAAGCAAAAACGGTGCAATTTGGAGCCAAATTGAGCAATGAAGAAAATTTTAACCTGACATATTTCGCTATGTCTTTCTATGTCTAATCTCTCTTACATTTATCACATGTTTTTTTTAATGAAATTACACTTTAAAGAAAAGTTATTTTCATGTTTATTTTGTAGATATATCAATTTTGAGCGAAACGGAGCTGAAACGAGACGAAGCGGAGTTGAAACGGAAAGAAATGAGGCCAAACGATGAAGCTGCCCGCAGGTGGCGCTATAGCGCCCAGACTGGAGCCATAGCATCAGAAAACAAGCGCTATAGCGCCCCAGACGGTTTTTGGACGGTTTTTGGTTGATTTTGGGTCATTCTGAGATGTTCTGGAAGTCTCTGGACAACTTGCACGCCCCTTGGAGTGGTTAAATGAATCTAGACACTTGGAGTGGATTTTGAATGAATAGATGTGTCTCTCAGAATGAAAGGATGTGTCTCTTGGATGAATAGATGTGTCTCTTGGAGAAAGGAGGGGTTTTCATTTTTTTTTAAATAGAGAAGTTTGGCGTCTCTCATGAGAAGTAATTAGATGAGTCTAGAGAAGAAATTAGGAAGTGTTTTTGGAGGAGTTTGGCATGAGTTTATGAAGATGTAAATTTTTCCATTTTCTGAAGAGATTGGTGAGGGATTTTGAGAGATATGAACAAGGAAGTATGAGTGGCGCATGGATCGGCAGGAGACTTTGTTGTAAAGATTTTTTTTCTTTCTTTCAGAGAGAAAAAACTAAGTATTGTGTTCTTCATTTCCTTGTAACTGTTGTAAGCACTTTCTAGTGGATTTTCTTTCATTTAAATGAAGTTTTTTGTGATGTTTTATCCATGCTTCATAAGTAGTTTTTTTTACTCTATTCTTTTAATATGAAATAGTGACATGTGTAGGAAAATTTATTTTATGATAGAATTATTTTTATTTTCATGTGATTAGTTATATATCCTTTGCTTCATTGACATAACTTAAGTGACAATAAGTTAACAATATGTTAAAATTTGTTGCATGTGAAACTAAGACTCGGGAGAGCAGTGATCTTGCAACTTGAGTGCACTCACATTGACCAGTTGGTTAGTAAAATAATTTAGGCGGCAATGTAACTTTTAAGAAAATATAATCTAATAATTTGTTTATATTAGATGCTTCTAGGTTAGACTACTAAGCTTACCTACTCACTCGAAAGAGGGTAGGTAGACATATGCTCCTTATTGACATATTATTTATTACTTAATTTTATCAAACATTTTACTGCTTATGTCATTATCTTCATTTTACTTTACTTTTGCAATGAAATGGATGCATGCTCAAGAATTTAAATTTTCTTAGACATTCACTTATTTTATTAATTTGATGATATTTTCACTGTTCTTAATTGACTTTGCAAACTGATCACTTGTGATGTTAAAATCCGTTGCGAAACATAATAACCCGGGAGAGCTATGATTTCACCAAACTAGTGAGTACCACACTTCACTCTGGGCAGAGCCGTTGTGATCACCAAAGGGGAGTGCAAATAGATAGGGAGATAAGTTTTGATGGGCGTAAAATTGATGTTTCTAGGATGACATTAGATTATTTTAACAATTTGGTTTAGAGTTTGGATCGTAAGGGTCCCTAGTAGGCCCTATAGAGAGGGCACAGTAGGTAATCTGAAGGTGAGAGGGCAGAATCTACTCAACACTACTACACAAGCTGATGAAAAACTCTAAATTAGTCAATGTTCTTTGCTAGCACCATGAGGGGGTAAAGAATAGGTATGCTCTTATTTGTCACTGACAACATTATATTTTAAGCATTTTATTCCTACACATTATCTAGGACATTGCACGAGAAGGGTAGCTTTAAACATCTCAAAATTCTCCAAACCGTTTTATCCAGAAAAGTTATCTTTATATTTAAGATTTTTATTTAAAGTAGTTGTTAAGAAAAATCACTTTAATCGACATTCCAAACTAAGGACTGATAGTAATAGACTAGAATTAGCCTAAAAGATTTTTTACTTTCTTCTCTGTGGGATCGATAATCGGGGTCTTTAAAGAAAACCCTACACTTGTGTAGAACCCCTAGTGTATG